AATGACCATTAAAAGCTTTACGTTAAGATTACAAAAATATTGAGAGAGCAATTCATAGGAATGCAAATACAGGACAAAGAAAGGCACAGAAATCTCATGATTATGCATTTGCCACCAGTAAATTAAGTTTCAGAACATAGTGGTAACCTCCTCCCAAATGAAAACAGATTGTAAGAATCATGCCCCTAATTATTTTCTATGTCTTATCTACTGGATTCCAAAAATAATGTCTTACATTTGACACAATAGACAAATCCCTGTGTTGCTGAGAAGGTACCTTGGTTTCTTAAAGCTGGCTCCATGACTACTTGAATCAATTTTGGCTCCATTAATCAATCTTAGAATCACAGAATCATAGAGTTGGAAGGGATCTGCAGGGTCATCTAGTCCAACCCTCTGCACAATGCAGGAACTTCATAAATATCTCCCCACACACACACACCCCTAGTGACCGCTGTTCCACACTCAGAAGATGACAAAAAAACCTCCAGGATCTCAGCCAAACTGGCCTGCAGAAAAAATTGCTTCCTGACCCCAAAGTGGCGATCAGCATTTCCCTGGGCATGTAAGAAAGGGCCACAAGAACTACGCACTAATGCAACCCTTCCTGCCCTCCCTCTCACGATCTGCCTAAGTTCACAGAATCAGCATTGCTGTCAGATGGCCATCTAGCCTCTGTTTGAAAACCTCCAAAGGTGATTGCTTAGTCTCAATCCATGGAGGCAATTTTAAAATATCAGCACAATGACAGAAAGTGAGCAGCCTCTATACATACAGGTGCCAATGTGCTGAACATGGTTGATATCCATATCCAGCTAGGCCAGACAGAAACTTGAAATTGCAGCACTCTTCCTGGGGTAACAAGCAGTCCCTGACAGGCCATAACATTTCTGCTGTAACTAGGTGATATGAGCGCATAGCATACATACGGCTTTATTCCACAGCACTGTCTAAATCTAAGCTCCCCAATACTTTCCTGGCACACTTTCACTGGAAGAGGAACTGGTTTCTCATCCTGGGAAAGTGATGGTTGTGGGGAAACACCACAGAGCTCTTCCTTGGGGCGGGGTACCAACAGTGGAACAAGTTCTGCTTCTGAGGTATTTTTAAAAGTGGGAAATGTGGACTTCTTGGCTTCCGAAACTTTACCATGCAGTACAATTTTTGTTCCCCCATACCATGAAGGGAGAGAGTGAAAGAATTAGTTGACAGTGATGTGTTTGCTAATTTGATTACGGACAGCAAAAGTGACATCAGATCACCAACTGCAAGACCAAAGCAGTTCAAGACATAATTGTTCTTCACATACACAGCAACAGCCCCATATTATTATTCTGTAAACATGTAACTGTGAATAAAAAAACTACTTGGGGCTATTAGCCACAAGGTATCGATAGGAACTCTTAGGCTGGGGCAAGTGTCCTGGCCCCACTGCTGGACCTCCTGATGGCACCAGGTATTTCTGGCCACTGTGTGACACAGAGTGTTGGACTAGATGGGCCACTGGCCTGATCCAACATTGGCTTCTCTTATGTTCTTATGTACTTTTTGAAAAAAAATACGCCAATGTAATAGTATGTCTCCAACATGTCAGAGCCAAGATGTTTTAAAACAAAGAAAAGCAACCTTTTGGTCCTGAGTGCAAAAAACCCTGCAACATCTACCTGTGGAAATGTTGGTGTGCCAGCAAACAAGAGGGGAAAGGAGAAGGATGGAGGCTATACTTGGCCAAACACATCGTGAGCCACTACCAGCCAATGACTGTGCAGGTTTGGGAGGTGATGACAGACATAAGCCACACCTACCACTTTGTGCCATACTCCCAGTCCTAGCAGCACTGCCAATGAACTCAGGGGCTCACCTCAAATTGGTCAGGTGGCGAGCTGACCTTGTGTGCTCCGCAAAGTTTTCTGTATACCTATGGCAAAGCAGCAGTTTGAAATGCATCTCCTGAACCATAATATTGTGGCTTATCACACAAAAAGGAAAAGGCCAGATGTTGACAGTGTAACAATGGCAAGCTACAATGAGTGATGCAGTTCAGGAATCAAGACAAGAGACCCCTTGCAAAAAAAATCTGCTACAATTACAGTTAGCATGTCCTTTTTGTTGTTGCAAAGGCACCCGAGCTACAATGAGTGATGCAGGTCAGGAATCAAGACAAGAGATCCCTTGCAAAAAAATCTGCTACAATTACAGTTAACATGTCCTTTTTGTTGTTGCAAAGGCACCTCTAATTTAAAAACACCCCAGATTCTACATACCATTGCTGTATTTTGCTGTCAGAACTTCCAACACAGGAAAAGCCCCAGCAATTACCTTCTGTGTCTATTTATTACTCAATTACTTAGCGGAACAATATACTTTCGATTGCAAATAAAGACAAAATTTACACCAGAGAGCTTCAGCATCTTTAAAGCACTAACCTAAATTGAAGTTATAGATGTACTGGTATTCTGAATAGATTATCCATAATGGTGAACACTGACCACGGAAAAAGCAGATCAAATCATACAGCATGATCTCCCCTGCAGCGCAATGTCTGCAATCAAGCCATGGTGAGAGTCATGGAGGAACTCGTCCTGTTGGTCTTCCAAAGCACCATGCATGTAGAGGTCTTCGGAAGTCGGGCTTGCCCTTCATGAAGAGGTCCAGAAATTAAACATCTTTGGACTAACCCATCATGAGGAAATTGCAAGAACATTCCCATGCACAGTGCAATAAAGAAGCTCAGAATCCACCCTGCATTTTAGAAGAGAGCTAATCACAGGAAGTGGTTAAGTGATATCTACGCAAACATATGTACTGGTTCTGTATCACTAACAAAGAAAAAACGGCTCTTATGAAAAATTGTTTTGATTGTTGTAACTGCTTACAACCCTCAGAAGTCTAATACATTTTGCTGGGGAGAAAAAGACTCTTGTGTGAAAGGTCTAGTTTGATTTTTAAAAACCTCAGCTATGAGTGGGAACACAAAAAGCGTTTGTTAAATTATCCTTCTAATTAAGAAGAGAGCTTTATTGAAAGAAACCAGACCGAGAGTTTTTGTGGTGAGAAAAACCTCCACATAAAAATACTTCTTTCATTTAAAGATCATGATTCACACCATCTTTCAGCAATACAATACAGAAGGTCTAGTGTGCTTAGGAAGAAACATATACTGAAGGGCTCCTAAAGTAGTAACAACCTGTAAACAGATTATCCTAGACATACAATTAAAAGACTGTTCCAATTTCCCCCAAAGCCAATAGGATTGCAGTCCTTGTTGTACACAATAATTTGGTCTCATTAACTTGGATCTCATTAAAAGTTAAGTTTTCAATCCTGCTTTCAAACTGGTGAGAAATCAGGGATAGAATGATTGCCCCAGAGACTTAATGCCATGTACCCTTGTCTGAGAATGGCCACAGAAAGCAATAACCCCCCCCAACCCCCCCAAGTAAAAGTGCTACGTACTCTCACATCTCCCTACCTATATGAAGACATATAGTGGAACTGTCTGTTTTTCATAGGATCCAGTGTCAAATGGTGTGCAGTGTCAAATGGGGGTTATTTCTGTCTGGTAAAGACATATGCATGAGTGTAGCAGTGATGCGCTACAGGCTGACTGCAGCTTCTCAAGTCCATGAAACATTCCTCTCCCATCATCAAAGTAAACACCCCACCATCTCCGGATGGGATCTCAATGCCACGAGAATTCACTCTTTGACCACAACACCCCCTACCCCAAGCATGACAAGGGCGCTGAGCAGGATGAACCAAAGCCACAGAGGGCGTGACATGTGTATCTTTTAATGAGGTAATTTTTTTTATCAAGGGCAGCATGCCATGTCACAGCAGTGCAGAGGAAAGGAAACTGGCCTCTGTTAAAATTCCCTCTTCCTACACAGCTATTGCAGAGCCTCTATTTCATCCTGTTTAGATGGGGAGGAGACCAAACAACGCCAATTTTACTTATGAAACTGTAACACGCCATTAACACTGGCGACAAAATAGAAAAGAAATATAACTTGAACCACAATAAGCAACCAGGGCAACATACGTCTTTTTCTCCCCATATCGGATGGGGCAGGCGGTAGATACTGTTTCAAACATACACAGGCTGACTGCACCACCCGCCTACCTCCGACCTGCAACAAAGTTCTCCTGACCACTTGCCAGGATGCTACAGAGGCTGGAAGCAGGCCACCCTTTTCATCTTGAGGTTGCTTAGCAAACCACCAGCCCAGGTAGACTCCCACTGAGCAAAGCCACCTGGCCCCAAAAGACAAGGCAACCAGCTCAGCAGGTGGCACCTGTGGCAAAACATAGGGCCAAAGGGTCACCTGCCTCACAGTGGAAAAGGGGTAGGGCTGGCAGTTCTGGGTTGGGAAGCACCTGGATATATTTTTTTGGGGGGGTGGAGCCTGGGGAGGTCAGGATTTGGGGAGGGGAGATGCCTCCGCAGCCCTGCTCCCTCTAAGCTGAGTTGGTGTGAACCAGCTCACAGTTCTGTAGCTCACACATTTTTTGTCTCAGCTCAGGAAGGAGGGCTCCAGAGCAAACTCATGGACGCAGCAGCCAAATCGCTGGCTCCCCACTTTAATGCCAGTAGCTCGCAAAGTAGCATTTTTGCTCACAAGACTCCACAGCTTAGAGGGAGCACTGTTCAGCATCTCTCCAAGGCTGCCGTTTTCTCCAAGGGATCTATGTAGTCGGGCGATCAGATGACATTTGGGGGGGGGGTCTTCCAGGTGCCCCCTGGAGGTTGGCACCCCTTCAAAGGGGAGAGAAGGTGCCCACACATCCGCTGGTATGGGGGGGGGGTTGAGAAAGGCTGCTTTAAAGAGACAACAAAGAGGAGGCAGGGAGGCTGCTGGGGGCTTCTCCGGGCGGCGTGGCTCTCGCTCTCTCTGCCTAGCCCCAGCCGAGGGTGGGGTCTGCCCCAGCCGAGGGTGGGGTCTGCCCCGGCCCCCGCCCCGCGCCCCCACCAGGCCGCTTCAGGGTCTCCTTCTTCTTACCTTCATCCTCGAGCTCCAGTTTCTCCAGCATCCCTTCGGAGGCGGCCGGGGGCGGAGGAGACGCTGCCTGCAGCAGGGCGAGGGAGGGGGGGGGAGACACGAGAGAGAGAAAGAGAGAGAGGGCGGGATCAGCAGCAGCATCCAGGCGCGGGACTCAGCGCACCCGCGGCGGCATCCCCGGCACCGGGGCAGGGAAGGGGAAGACCCAGCGGCGGCAAGGGGAGTGGCCGGGCTCGGCGCGTGGAGGAGGAGGAGGGAGGGATGCTGCTACTGCCGGGACTGAGGAGCGCTCGGCCTGCCAGCAGCGAGCTCGAGTGACGGCGCCTCCCCGGGTTGACTGGGGAGGGGAGGGGAGGAGCCGGGCCGGCCGCCGGGCTCCCTCTCGCCCTCCTCCCCTCGCCGGCTCGTCCCAGCCCATTAACCCCTTCGCGGCCGAGCCAGGCCCGGGAAGGGAGCGCCTCCTCCCCGCCCCCCATGCGACTCCGCTCCCGCCGGGCTCTGGAAGAGCACCAGCTGCGGCAGGACCTCTCCGCTGCCGCGCGACCGTTAGAGCCCAACGGCCGCCGAAAGAACGTCGGGGCTTCTCGACTGCCACCGTCCTCCCCCCCCTCTTTTTTGTAGAAAGCGCAATGGAACCTTCCGTACTTTCTCGGTCTCCCGAGCTCGTCGGTCTGTCCCCGGCAAGGGAAAGGTAGCTACCACTTCGCAGACGGGGGGGAGGCCGGAGTGTATAGCACATTCTCATTATGTAGAAAATACGGGAGGGAGGGGGGGGGTGTCCACACCTGCCTTGAGTGTGATAGGCCGGGCCAAAGGATCCGGGTTTTTGTGGGGAGGGGGGAAGGCGGGGTTAAACTGGAGACCGCAGCCCACCCTTCTCGGTGGACGTTGGTATTGTCCGGCGTGCATTCACCTGTGGAGAGGTGGAAAGGGGACAGCACCACGGCCCGCTTGTAGGGGGGAGCCCGATGCTTTTGCTCTCCCCCACCACACAAAAAAGCACTTTACATTTCCAAGGTGGGCTTGTCCACAGGTATATTTGTTTCATAAATTACATTTATATAACCCACCCTTCCTTATGGCTCCAAGCGTATGCTCCTGAAACTTTGTCCTACAGGGCAGGAGATACAAGTTCCTACGAGGTGTATAAGTGTCCCTATTACTTGGCAGGTTGAGGTCAAGGGGGGTGGGCAGCTCTAGGTTGAATCGGGTTGCCAGCCTCCAGGTGGGGCCTGGGGAGCAGTGTTCCCTCTAAGCTGAGTTAGTGTGAGCTAGCTCACAGCTTGTTAGCCTCCAGCTCACACGTTTGTCTTGGCTCAGGAAGGATGGCTCCAGAGCAGACTAATTTATGCAGTTGCCAAATTGCTCGCTCACAACTTTAATGCCAGTAGCTCACAAAGTAGAATTTTTGCTCACAAGACTCCACAGCTTAGAGGGAGCATTGCTGGGGAGCTCCTGCTTTTACAACTGATCTCCAGCGGACAGAGATCAGCTCCCCTGGAGGAAATGGCTGCTTTGAAGGGTGGACTCTGTGGCATTGGACCATGCTGAGGCCTCTCCCCTCTCCAAATCCCACCCTTTCCCCCAAAGTCTCCAGGTATTTTCCAACCCACACCTGGCAACCCTAAGGTTGAGAAATACCTGGAGATTTATTTATTTTTTTGGGATGCTGGAGCCTGGGGAGGGGAGGGACCTCAGTGGGGTATAAAGCCATAGAGTTCACTCTCCGAAGCTGCCATGTTCTCCAGAGAAACTGGAGACCAGTAATAACACCAGATCTCCAGCACCACCTGGAGATGGGCAACCTTAGGGGGGCATATTCCCTCCCACCTTCTATCCTTGAAGGGCCCCCCCATCCTTGTGTCTATGCTTCTTTCACCTATCCTTCCCCATGCACAGGAATGAGGTTCTGTGATAATGCAAAATAACAGTAACCAGTCGCTGGTCCGGTGCGGAAGGACATTTCCTATTCACCAGTAAGCTTGCACTTAAAGTGGGGGGAAAGTCAGCCCCCCCATGTCCATTGTGTAAAATGTACACCAATCCATATTATGTGGTTTTGAGAAGACGAAGAAGAAGAAGAGATTGAGAAGAGATTGGATTTATATGCTTCCAAGATGAAACAGGGCTATATCCTTCCATCACTACCTCACAAAACTGTGGTCCATGCAAATATCTCATGATCCTTGCTGTAACATTGGTTATGTTTCTTCTCTGGCTTGGTTTTTTTTTTAAAGCCCATCTGTCATTTCCTCTTAATCCCTTCAGCTTCATTGCCAAACGTTTATCTGTGACCATGAAGGACAACTGGGGGATGGGGGATTTCTGCAGTTTGCAAATGTATTTTCTCTGGTATCTTCCCGAACTTGAAAGGCCAGATTGGATAGAGAGCATGCTTACAAATAGCTAACTATAAGGCCCACCTGAATAGGTAATTTAAAAAATCAGAATACACCAGATAAGAGACACTCTCAGAGTTAATATTTTATCACAAGGAAACTAGATTTGCAGGAGATTTGAATAATATGATTATGGTCTGACTCAGGACTTAGATTTATAATCTTGTCAGGATGCTGTATTTTTATGTAATTCTGGACTGCCCTGCAATATTATTTAGATTGGCTTCCTGTATTTACTGTAAAAGAATGTTTACGGATGTATAGAATCTTTAGAAATATTGACCATTTTATCGAACTTCTGCAGAAACTGCTATGAGTGTGCAGAATCTTTTCTTTAAAGCTTAGAGTGCTCTCCCTATCAAAATCCCAGCATCTCGGCTTTAAATATTAATTAGAATGTAATTAAAATTTAAATCATCACCCTCTCAGCACACCTTTAATGTCAGCAGTCCAATGCTCGGCCAAATAAAAAGGTCTTTCAGTGTATCCAACATGTTCCCAAACTAGAACTCTGGAGAACAACTGAAGAGAAGGCAGTGCCATAAATATGGAACTGTTACCATATCTCCCAGTAGGCCCTTGATGTTCCAAAGCCATTCACATCAACAATGCTATCAAGGCAGCATCAAGAATTCCAAAAAGGGGACCTCATGCTCTGGAGCCATCCTTTCTGAGCCAAGACAAAAATGTGTGAGCCGGAGGCTAAAAAACTGTGAGCTGGCTCACACTAACTCAGCTTAGAGGGAACACTGGCCACCACCTACTCCACTTTTGCATTCTCCCATGCTTCACTGGTCCATGTCATTAAAAAAAAATCAGGCCTCTACAAGGCAATACTTTATTTGTAATGTAGTTTTAGCCAGGACTGCTCAGTGCCTCACCTCTGCCATACCTAAATAGTAATACTGACTCTGGAGCAAGAAGCATGCGAGTTCTGAATAAGCAAAAATCTACAACTTCCTTTATTTTAGCCTACAGTTTGGTTTTGGGGGGCAATATTCCCTTGAGAGCTACTTTCTCGGATGCTCCTTCACCCCCGATCTCATGCACATCGCAGTTTCCAACATCTAGAACAGTAATGCGCCACTTTGCCGTGGGTCCTTCTCAGCCAGTTTGGTATAGTGGTTAAGTGCGCGGACTCTAATCTGGGAGAACCGGGTTTGATTCCCCACTCCTCCACTTGCACCTTGGGCAAACCATAGTTCTGGCACAACTGTTCTTGAAAAAGAGCAGTTTCTGTCAGAGCTCTCTCAGCCCCGCCTACCTCACAGGGTGTCTGTTGTGGGGAGGGGAAGGGAAAGGAGTTTGTAAGCCGCTCTGAGACTCCTTTGGGTAGTGAAGGGCGGGGTATAAATCCAATCTCCTCCTCCTCCTCCTCCTCCTTGTTTTGGGCTCAACAGATTCCCAGCCACACTACCCTTTGTAGTGTGTGCATGTGTGTGTGCAGGGGACAGAATCGCTTCTCTTGCCCTGTGTAGTGGCTGCTTCTGATTAATGCAATTCAATATGTTAAATACCTTCTGATGAGACAACTAGCTGGTGGAAACAGCTCCAGGTGCAACCTTAGGCTTGGGACTAAGTGTCACTGAGGTCTGAAGCTACAAACAGAACATGGTGGAAAGCCGCAGAATAGGTAGTAAGACAAGAATCTTAAGCCCAGAGAATAAGTTCAGAGTAAACATGCCTGGGATGCCAATGCATAAGTACTTGCATTACAAAGTGCTTTGTTCTAAAGCTAACAAGTAACTCTGCTTTCCATTCAGCTTGGCAAGAGTTCCGTGTAACAAATGGCTGCATACTTCTGCATCTAAAGATATTTGCCTATAGGAAAACATTGCCCTTTTTGTGGCTAGCTGTTGCGCAAGCACAGTTGGTGAGATACTAATGCTATATTCCATCATGAGAAATCAGGACGACAGGAGTCTTGGCTGTTCAGGATATATAACGATAGCTTTAAAAATCTGACATGCTTCTGCTTTTTGGAAAACAGCCTGGTCATGCTTGCTGTATTCAGAGTTTCCATCTCGAGCGTTTATTCAAGTGGCTTCCACGAGATTTCCTTTAGGGTATCTCAGGCCAGATGACTTGTAAAATATCCAAACAAGGTCCCTTTCTGAACTCCGCGCTCCAAACCCTGTTTTGCGGTGATCCATGTTTAAACGGGAAAAGCGACGGAATATCAGATGCTGTCGTTCCGAGGCTTTCTCTTCTGAAAAGTCCCCCCTTTTCTCAAATCCCTAATCCCTTCTTCTTCTTTCATGTTCCTGGGAGTTGTCAATTTGGATCTTACGTAACCATAGTAGATTTTCTTATTTAGCCTATAATTTTCTCTCTCTCCCTGAGAGAGACTCTGAGCCAGCGTTTTCCTGCAGGCCTCTGTGACTCTCCCCGGGCTGCTGTCTGCCACCAGACTTCAATGGAAGTATTCATATTCCTCGGCAACAGTTCTCTGTCTCCTGTTGTTCTGTGGCAGCTGATGCCACAGCAGTTGAGGAATGCCCCTGGCTGCAGAGGGGCAGCACTTCAAAGAAGCCGTGGTGGCCGTGCAGAGAATACACTGTGGGAGACCAGCATATGGGCAGGAGCCGCGATAACTCAGCAAGACCTCAAATAAGGGACACACAACCTGCATGTTAATGTGTGTGCATGTGTGTGTGCAGGGGACAGA